GACCGAGAGCTGCATGCGCGACCGCGTCGCAGCGCTCTCATGCGCAAAGTGCTGGACGAAGCCGCCAAAGCTCTTGGTCTGCTTGAGCAGCTGGAGCACCATGAGGGCGACGTCGCAAGAAGGAGGCTGGGGACGGAAGTGCCATGGCTATCAGTGGCACCAATTGCATGTGATTGGCCGAGATGCATGCCAGGTGATCGATGATTGGCGGATTGAATCCGGATGCTACCATGCAATCGAGACGACAACGTCATCACATGGCGATGCTCGTTGCCATCCGAGATCTTTCAAGTGAAAGATCTGGATACAATGAGAGCTTCACTGCGTGAGGCGCCACCTCCAGACGTCAATAGACCGAGACATGATTCAAGCCGATACTCGCGCAACAACCAGCACCGTCAACCCGTACGGCAGGATCAATTCGCCCTTAAAGAATTGTTCAGCGGCATACGCAATCATCACACCACGACAAAGGCCACGAAAATAGAGGACCCAATTCAACAACAACAAAGGCCACGAAGAACTCGGCGTAAAGATGCATCGAAGCGGCTATCGAAGCCTATATTTGAGTGTCGCAGTAGCAATAGACGCTGCAAATATTGTAGGTGTAAAAGTCGATACAACTGGTCTCGAGATTGAAATGCAAGCGCTAAAATGACACCGACCCTACAATCCTTCGAAGGGGCGCGGACCAATCAAAAGCGATCAAATCAATCTTGTGCGTTGGCTAGCCGGATTGATTAACCGGTTTGACGGGTACAACCGCACCGGTGCTGGAAGATCGTCCATTCCGAAACGACGCGATGAAGTTGGGAAAGCTCTCCAAGGTAGACCGACGACCATGCAGCATGCGCTCACGTTGGAGGTAGCGCTCGGTCAACGTACTCGACCAAGTGGAGCGACAAGTGGGTCGCTGCGCTGGTACCCGACGAGGTCGACGGGCCATGTGTCTAGGTGGCCGACGCCGGAGGCTTCTCACTCCATGGCCTCTGCAGCAGCAAGGCTCTTGCTCCACGCGCATACGCTCGTCGCGGTCTCAGCGCCCATTGAGGTACACGGCTATCGCGCCATGTGCATCGTCTTCTCATATGTCAAGGCAGAAGCGCTTGCAGCGAAAACACTGCTTCCAGCTCGTCGACAAGCACACGGTGCACTTGGTCGACGCTACATTCCGCGGTCGATGATGCTGGTGCATCGGAGAAGACGCGGACGTTTGGCTGTGCTTCCGAGCGCGACCTCGTCGAGTGGGTCGCGGCCATCCACGTACGTCTACGCAAACTTTTGAGAAACGTATTGACAGCGTTCTTAAAAGGCTAGCATGCACCCGCCATCGACAGCGCCAACAACGCACACTGACCAGCGCTGCGCCGACGCCCGCGCCGCCTTTGCCAGGGCACCCGACGTCGATGCCTTGAAGCCTTATGTCGATGGTCGAGGCATGGGCAAGAGTAAATACGTCAAGCTGCGCGCGCTCCTCGACTTGATATCCTTTCTTCTGTCGACGTATAGTATGCCTGTATGAGACGGCTCTAGTGGCCTTACATGACAACCTGTACATTCACTGGCACGGCTCGATCGACGTACAATACGATTCAACAAAGCCTCGACCCCGCGGGCTCACGGGTACCACCAGCCCTCTCCTATCGGACGCAGCAAGATTGCGCTCGTGGGTTTTTCGGGTTGGGTCGTATCGTCGGGCGACTGGACGACGACGCTCGACGTACCGGCGCCCCGTCCCGTCGTTGCGCCAAAGAAAGCAGACTATGTCCCAGTCGCCCGCCCGTCGTTGCCAGAGCCATCGACGCATTAGAATGACCGTCTCTGGCGCCTTCTCCGATCTCTCAGTCTCGGCCAAAGCGCTGCAGGTGGCACAGCTCACACAAGCGTTTGGAGACGCCGCCGAGGAACTGGTGCGAACGCTTCTGGACACGCTTGCGGCCGACGTCGACGACATTTTCTCGGCCAACGACATTTTAGCTGATGACACTGGCGACCGGTGGCAATGGTTTGGCTATGTCGATACGACTGACGCCGACGTGTACGTGGCCGACGGCTCGTGCTGCTTTCTGTGGCGAGCACCGAGTATCGCTGTCTGGAAGACCCTTGGACACGACCTCCGCGAGATGATTGACGCGCTGCAAGCGCTGGATGCGACTACACCGTCGCTGCAGTGCACCGTCGATTACCACGATGCCCGCGCGCTGGTCTTTGGCGACTACGGCTCGGCACCGACAGCGATCAGCGAGTGCCAGACAGCCAAGCATCCCACCTGCTTTTGCGATCGCCGCAACGGCGGCGCTCAAGTATCTTAATCTGTGCCCGCCCGAGACAGACGCGGCCGACGCCATGGCCCTGCTGCGCGTATTGCTCGTGACGCGCACGTCGTGCGACTGCAGGACGACGCGTATGCATGGACCCGGCTGCGACATGTGTGCGTACCCGACGTCCTCGAAGACGACGACGGTGCCCACGACGGTGACGGTGCGTCGAGCCTGCACCAGCTCCGCCCCGAGTACATTCGGCAATACCACACCGCGCTGAGCTCCACCGTCTACGGCACCGAGTCCGTGGCAGCGCTCGATAGCACGGTGGCCTGCGCGAGCCACTATTTGCAAAGGTCGGTGCTCCCATCGGCCGGCGCCCGCCTCGAAGCCAACGAATATTTTCACGTGCGACGGCATCAACATGCAGTACTTGGGTCGCCTCTACGAGCTCGCTACGCTCGGCCATATCCGTCGACTTCTTCTCACTCAAATGGTGGCGCGAACGACCAAGGTGCTGCTTCGCGGCATGCTCCGCGGCGCACCGGCATCACGATCGGTTGTGTTGACGCTCGTCAATCTGGTCTGCGGTGGTGGCGCTGAGGCGATTGCCTTTCTCGACAATGAGTTGCATCCAACGCTGCGACTCAAATTTGGTTGCACACGGCGCCGACGCGCAACGATCTGCACTTGCGGCAGGTGCTCTTTGCGCTGCAAAAACACCTCGGTGTCAACGTGGCACTGCAACGCATTGCGAGCACCGGGGATGCCCCCGGGCCGTTCCGAGCACACCATATCGTCAGGCTTCACGCATCGACGTCGATGATTCTCCAGACGACGACCGAAAGCACACGGTTGATTGCGTCCACGGACGACGCCGTCGGTGCTGGTCGCTTGTCGGACGCGGTGGCCTACGTCAAACTCGCACTTGCGCTCAAAAAGGCCCACCTGACGGACCACAACCGGGTGCAGTGGTGCCACTTCCTTGTGTGTGCCGCCGAGCTCTCGGCGCGGACGTCGCATCTTGGTGACGCCGACACGTCTGCCACTGCGGCGCTGGAGGACGGACCTCGCCAAAGCGCACACCGTCGCGATGACGCTCGCACATGCCAAAGGCGACGTCGAGCGCATCGGACACCTCGTCGAGCGAGCCGTGGCCATCGCATCGTGGCATCTCGGTCCGACGCATGTCTTCCTCGTCGACATCTACATGGCCGCGGCCGACGTGTGGTGCGACCGCGGGGAGCACTACAAGGCGCTGGCCATGTGCGACGCCTGCCTGGGCGTTCTCAAGGAGA